ACCATTGCTGAATAAAAGTTTTATATTTAGTTCAAGATGTCGCTAACATATCAGTTGCATAGTGAAATTAGAAATTAGCTGTACTGACAGAGTTAAAGAAACTTTCCTCATGAAAATAAATTTTTTTTCTCATTCATATACAACTTACACTGCTCTCCATCTACATTTGTTGCTTGATGTGCTCCTCTTCCACTGATGGCCATGACTTAGAGACTAACTAAGCGGTAGCTTGTGTGTGGCAGTTCCCATAGCAACAGTGAGTGATGTGCGGCACATCTGTCCAAAACCTGAAGCTACTGTTTAATTAAACAGTCACACTACTTTTGACTCTTCAACACCTCAGTTTTGTGGCAGACCAAGACAATTGTCAGTTTCAGTGTAGTTTATTTTTAGTTTATATCACAATCAGAACAAAAAGAAAATAATAAAATAAAATACCGAGGGCACGACCATGCTGTCCTCAATGGTAGTTATTGCCCTGGAGGGACTGAGGGACTGAAGCCTGACAGGTGGACGGCGCTGGACCCCATAGAACCCCTGGTTCAATTTGTTTCGGCTGGAGCCCAACTTTAACCCCTTTTATTATTACAACATATAAATAAAGATATATTATTAAAAATGTGTTGAAAAGTTTGTAGTTAGGAGGGAATAATATAAAATGTTATATTGATATTTTTAGGCTTAACAAAAGCAAAAACTATTGACTGTGAATAAAAGTTAAAAAAAAAACCATTAAAAAAAATTATTTTTTCTTTACATATTTTGTAGCATTATTATTAGCATTATTTTGTATCAGTAAATGTGGACCTGTCTGCATGTGACCTAAATTTTGTTGGCAGTCATATCTAATCACAGTGGCCTATAAATCATGTGGAATTACTTACCAGCATAAAACTGAGTTGTTTTTCCTGTCAGTCCTGACAAATTGTTCTTCTATTTCAACAGTTTGTACCCCTCCCATATCAGTGGAATTCAAAGAAAACAACAATATTGGTGATGTTGTGGCAACAATCATTACTGAACCTGGGGTGGAAGTTTCTCTTGTCAGCACTGAACAACCATTTAAGATTGAAGTAAACCAGCTGATAGCTACGCAACAACTGGACCGGGAGGTAATTTTGGACTTTTAAACAAGAAGAATCACAACATGCTGGTGCCTTTCTCCAGCTGTCTACAGGCAAGAGGCAGGGTACACCCTGGACAGGTCTCCAGTCCATCGCAGGGCAACACAGAGAAAAAAAGGATAAACAACCATTCATGCACACACTCACACCTAAGGAGAATTTAGAGAAGCCAATTAACCTAACAGTCATGTTTTTTGGGAGGAAGCCCGAGTATTCAGACACAATGCACACAGAAAGCCCCGTGGGCTGGGAATCAAACCCAGAACCTTCTTTCTGCAAGGAAGCAGTGCTACCCACTGCACCACTGAGCAGCCTTAATGAAAACATAACTTTAAAAATACCACATACTATAAAAAAAAAAACACACATAACCAAGGAAAGGGGGCTTTTTTGGTCTTTCAACATGAAATTTAATTGTTTTATTATTGTTTTCCAGGTGAAAGATAACTATGCAGTTCAAATAATATGTAAAAAAGAGCCTCAAGAACGGGTGAGACTATTTTGTCTTTTTGATTGAATAAATTCTTTCCATAAAAAACATAGATTCTTGAGTTGAAAGAACATTTGGTGAATGCAGTATGGAGTCTCCGGGCTTTATTCCATGTGCAAAGATTAATTTTATTCCGTGTTTCTAGGACCACACCATTGTTGTAATTGTGACAGATGTAAACGACAACTCTCCCAAGTTTGCAAAGAATTTGTATGAGGCCAATGTCGATGAGGTAAGATTTAGAAAAATGTCGGAAAAACAAGTGTAAGCCCAAAACTCACATTGGGTCATTAGATTTTGTCTCAACCTTTATACCCTTACGCTTTGTCATATTTTTTTTTTTCCAGATGTCTCCTATCGACAAAACTGTTGGTAGCTACCAAGCAACGGACCTTGATGGAACTTCTATCTTCTATACGCTGACACCTGAATCTGTATAACTTCTGCTTTTTTAGATGCCATTATCTTTTTCATAAACTTAAATTCTTTATATCAGTTTTGTCAACATTTATGTCATTATTTAAACATTAAACATGTTTAAATAATGACATGTTTAAAAATGTTTATCTTCTGAATTCTCATTGTTCCTTTTGATTTCTGCAGCCTCTCTTTAAACTGAAGTCACAGACTGTCCCAGAAATACTAGTCAGCGGACTTCTTAATTATGACAAAGTCAAAACTGTCCAACTGACACTGGAAGCTCGAGTAAGTTTTCTCTCTTTACTTTCTTTTTACCAGACAGTTTGTGGGATTGCTAACCAAACCCTGGTTTTTGTGTTTTTGGTAATCTCAATCTGATATTAATCAGAATGTCAGACAGATTTTTTTCCTTCTCAAACACAGATCCATATTCACATTCTTGCTAGATTTAATGCGGATTATTTGTTGACGCCCATTTACTTCTATTGAATTTCCATCATTTTAAGCCCTTTCTATACCCTTACCCTGACCACCTTAAACCTAACCACTGCCATTGCATATCTTACCCTAAAATAAACCTAAACTCAATTCACACCTCCCTCCTAAAACAAAAAAATGGAGAAGAAGAACAGCAAAATATTCTCATTTTGGTACAAACTGTCTGCAGTTTGATGGTGAATTCAGAAAAATGGTCCTCAAAATTGTAATTAAAAACATTTATGTGCTCGACAACCACCATCTTATCGGGGTAGATAAAGAGGTGTTTTAATGGAAATAATATTTTAAACATGATTTGCCAAAAAATAACAAAAATTTTAATTTTGACTTTTACAACAATAGAGCCTTTATTTGAAAGTCGGCTCCCAAAAAATGAGGTTGAGAGAGAGGGGGAGGGTCAGCAGGTTGGGACTAGAACCTGTTGCAGCCAGGTCCCGGACATATGGGCCTTCTAGACAGGAAGCGCTGGGCTCTGAAACCCATTGTTTTCAATGGTAACACCATCTTGCTAGCTGTGTCATAAGTTCAACTTAGTTGAACTTTAACAGCGGCACATGCAAATGCCTGACCAGTATAAACCGTTTCATCAGGCGGGAAGATTGTGCAGCAGAATGGAGGATAAACTAGTCTTGTGTGTGTATTCTTTGACACAAGTTCAAGATTATACAGGGAAATTGGGGGGAAAGTAATGGAATGGAGACAAATAACCAGCCAAGTAGGCGTTTCAGGTGTGTTTTAAGTGAGATCACCGGTCTGGCTCTCCCCAGCAAACTGTCATATTGCTCCACACTTCGCCGAGTTTTCATTCATTCATTCATTCATTCATTCATTCATTCATTCATTCATTCATTCATTCATTCATTCATTCCTTTCTTTCTTTCTTTCTTTCTTTCTTTCTGGTTAGCAAGCTAGGACATAAAACAGTTGTGTTAAAGTAAGTAAATATGATTAAGAAAATGGCAAACATGGTTGCATTTTTTTTTTTTTTTTTTTTGCAGTGTAGCTAGCACCAATGTTGCCAAATCTTAAACAATGAAAGTCATTATTGGCTGGCTTAAATATCTCTAGAAGTTGCTAAATAATCTCATCACCATTTTTGCATATTTGCTAATGCTTTATTCCAGCCGGGGGAAGGAAAACAAATATCAGCAAGAGGAAAAGGGAATAAAGAACCTCTAAATATGTTTAAGGATGAACTCCGTAGAATTTTCTTTAATTCAATCTAAACTAAAACTACATAAATCAATATTATTATTATCTTAAATTCAACTTAAAGAACACAGTGGAGGAGGCTGTTTATGAATTACATGCCGGGAGGATCTATTTTAATGCAACAGTTTTAAAGAGTGAAAGAAAGCTAAATAATATATTATTGCACACCATTTTTTAATTCAGGGGGGCTCAGTGGAACCTATGCAACTCCTGTTCAGCGAGGAAAGATTGAACAGCAGCCACAGCCTACAGCTGCTGCTTTTGACTCCCTGTCAGAGAATTCGAGAAGGAAGGGGCTCGTTCACAGTGAACTCTGAGTGACTATTTGTGACTATTTTGCATAACATAGGAACTCACAATTAACAATTGAACTTTATTGATCTGACACAAGGAAAATTTAACTCTGAATTTAACCCATCCCTTTGCCATCACGGGGCACACAGGGAGGACATGGGGGTTAAGGGTCTTGCTTAGAGAGCCAGATTGGCAGTCTGTGGGAGTGAGTTTCAAACTCACAACGTCCGGATTCCAAGCTCTATGTCCTAACCACTAGGCCACCGCTCCAGCATGCAAGTGGGTTGACTAGAGTTGCAAGTCACTTTTATGAAAAGAAAAAAAAAAC